CAGAAACAGGCTGATTGAAACGAGTGCGGGAAAAGCAATAATCGTGTCTTGATGAGATCGGAATGTTGTAAACATCTGCTGTATGTTTCCGAAAAAAAGGTACTTCTATCCGGAGTCCAAAGGAAAGGATGTGAGTTTTAAGAGTTTTCCATTTTGATTTACATGAGTATTTTTCGTCCTGTAATTACAATTGTGTGTGTGTGTGTGTGTGTGTGTGTGGTTTGATCTCATTGTAGAAGTTTTCATGTGTCTTTAGGGAACAATGCTACAATTTTACTACATTGTGGGATTCTGAGCTGGGTGGAAAAACTCCAGGGCCTTACGTTAGAAGTTTTCTAAGACACCATCATTCGCCTTTTTAGTCCACAAATAATTCCTCTGAAATTGATTTCCATAGGTGTCTAATGAACTTTATTAAGCCTCATTCAAATAGGTTCATATAAAACCACATGAATGTTTCTTATAAAGCAGCATCCATGCGTCGGAATTGTGGGTAAAACTGCTTAAAAAATTCTGTCCCCACAGTAGAAACTGCTAAAACTGAATAGTCAGGTTAGGTCAGTGGGTCTCGTCTGGGGGCAGTTTCGCCCCCAGGAGCATTTGGAAATGTCTGGAGACATATTTGGTTTCCCCAGCTGGGGGAGGGAGGTGTACTGGGGTACCTGGTGGGTAGCAGCTGGGGAGGCTACTAGACTTCATGTAACGGTTGAGACAACACTCAACCAACTAAGCCACACTATGCACAGCCTCCCCCATGATTATTATTATTTTAAATATTTTTATTGATTTCAGAGAGGAAGGGAGAAGGAGAGAGAGAGAAACGTCAATGATGAGAGAGAATCATTGATGGGCTGCCTCCTGCACACCCCCTATTGGGGATGGAGCCCACAACCCGGGCATGTGCCCTGACCGGGAATTGAACGGTGACCTCCTGGTTCATAGGCCACCGCTCAACCACTGAGCCACACCAGCCAGGCACCTCCCCCATGATTAACATCCCTCACCCTGGGGCACATTTGTTACAGCGATGAACCTCCAATTGACTCTTCACAATCACCCAGCATCTATAGTTTACCTTAGAGCTCTCTCTTGGTGGTGCCCGTCCTGAAGGTTTGGATAACTGTATGATGCTGTGTATCCATCATTGTAGTATACTTGGGAGTATTTTCACTGACATTAAAGTCATTCGGTCCGCCTATTCATGGCGTGTTGGCAAGGAGGGGGGAAATCGAAATCCTCATGCATTGCCGGTGGGAATGTAAAAATGGCTCAACCCCTTTGGACAACCATTGGACCGTTTCTCAAACAGTTACACTGAGAGTGACTAGGTGTTCCAGCAATTCCACTCCAGATACTTGGGAGTATTTTCACTGACATTAAAGTCATTCGGTCCGCCTATTCATGGCGTGTTGGCAAGGAGGGGGGAAATCGAAATCCTCATGCATTGCCGGTGGGAATGTAAAAATGGCTCAACCCCTTTGGACAACCATTGGACCGTTTCTCAAACAGTTACACTGAGAGTGACTAGGTGTTCCAGCAATTCCACTCCTAAGAACATGCCCAAAAGAAATGGAGTCACGTGTCCACCATAAACTTGTACCAGGGTTTCTTCGGGGAAGGATGAAAATCAGATTGTGATGAAGGTTGCACTACCCTGTGAATGTACTAAAAATCAGTGGCATGTGTACTTTAGATGGGTGAGTTGTATGAGTGAATTACATCTCAATTTAAAGCTGGTTTTAAAAAAAGATGAAAACAAACCAAAAAGAATACCACTCTCCCTTCTCTACCACCCATTAGCATTCCCTGCCCACTCGTCATCCCGCCTACTCCCCACAATCCCTGGCAGCCACTCGTCTGCTTTCTGCCTCTATGGATTGCCCCTCCCTTTTTTAATATTTCTTTATTGATTTCAGAAAGGAAGGGAGAGGGAGAGAGAAACATCAATGATGAGAGAGAATCATTGATCAGCTGCCTCCTGCATGCCCCCTACGGGGATCGAACCTGCAACCCTGGCATGTGCCCTTGATCAGAATAGAACCCGGGACCCTTCAGTCTGCAGACTGATGCCCTATCTACTGAGCCAAACCAGTTAGGGCTGGATTGGCCTAGTCTTGACATTTCTTGTAAATGGAATCGTACAACCTCCGACTTTTTATACTTCATTTTTTGTGTACTTCTTTCTTTAGCTTAATGTTTCCAAGATCCATCCATGTGGTAGCATATCTCAGTACTTCATTCTTCCTTATTGCCTAACTAGAGGCCCGGTGCACAAATTTGTGCACAGGTGGGGGGTCCCTTGGCCTGGCCGGCGGTAGGGACCAATTGGGGCCGCAGGAGGTTGGCTGTGGGGGCGGACTGACCACCAGGGGGCAGTTCCTGCATTAAGCATCTGCTTCCTGGTGATCAGTGCACATCATAGCGACCGGTCACTCAGTTGTTCGGTCGTTCGGTCACTTAGGCTTTCATACATATATAGACTAGAGGCCCAGTGCATGGATTTCGTGCACCAATGGGGTCCCTCGTCCTGGCCTGTGCCCTCTCATAATCTGGGACCCCTCGGAGGATGTCGGACTGCCCGAGGGATGTAGTAGTTCACGAAGCGGCAGGCAGTCAGGGAGGAGCCCAAGCCCAGGCCAGACACCGCTCCACTCCAGGCCCCGCTGCGCCTGCCGCCACTGCTGCTCAGTAGCACACTGCCATGGAGGCAGGAGAGACTCGGACCACCATAGCTCCGCTCACCAGCCATGAGCCCAGCCTCTGGAGCTCATCAATCAGCTGAGCGGCACTCCCGCTGTGGGAGCACACTGACCACCAGGGGGCAGCTCCTGCGTTGAGCATCTGCCCCCTGGTGGTCAGTGCACATCATAGTGACCAGTCAAACGGTCGTTCGGTCATTCGGTCGCTGAGGCTTTTATATATATAAATGGTATCCATGGTACGGATGTCCACACTTTGTTTATCCATTTATCAACTGAAGGACCCGGGGGCGCTGTTTCCACTTTGGGGAGCAAGCGTTTGTGGGGAGAGAGGTTTTCAGTTGTCTTGGGCGCATACCCAGGAGTGAAGTTGCTGGATCCTGTGGTAACTCTGTGTTTGTGAAACTCTGCCAGACTGTTTTCCAAGCTGCCTGCACCATTTACCAGCCCTCCAGCAACTGGATTTTTCAAAAATATTTTTATTGATTTCAGAGAAAGGAAGGGAGAGAGAGATAGAAACATCGGTGATGAGAGAGAATCATTGATCGACTGCCTCCTGCACGCCCCCTACTGGGGACCGAGCCTGCAACCCGGGCATGTGCCCTTGACCAGAATCGAACCTGGGACCCTTCAGTCCACAGGCCGACACTCTGTCCACTGAGCCAAACCGGCCAGGGCAGATGTGGGGCTTTCACACACACACACACCCCGGGGCCTCCCAAACACGCACACACTCCCCAGGTTCAAGGCTCTCTTGCATCATATGGATTCTACCCAGCAGCTCTTCCCAGGAACCTAGCTGTCAGAGCCCCTGTGAGAGCGTTTTCTCTTTAATAATAGATTACGTTCTGCAGGCCTCCGTCCCCCTTTGAGGAATTCATCTTAAAAATGTATGGGAAGCTCTGTTGCTAACACCAGACTCTGTTGGCACGCACGTCTCTATTTTTTTATGTCAGCCATGTGTTTGCACACTCCGCACCCACCCACCACACACGGCACTTCTAACATGCAGCCTGCAGGCGTCCGTGCAGGCCTTGTCCAGCCCGGGTCTGTCTCTGCCAGTCACACAGTCCCGGGATGGGGCTGGGGAGCCGTCCAGCCGGTACATGTCCTCTTATCTAGCCTGGTATTCAGCCTCTGCCACATGTTGATGGGGAACAAATTCCACACGTGGGTTTCTCTTCACTCCGATCAATTCCTTTTACTTGTTCCCAGGCAGCCCCCGTGTACATTTCAGCATGGTTGCTCCCGTCACCTTAGAGATTCAGTGAAAATGTGACTCTTTAGTCCTAGCCGGCTTGGCTCAGTGGATCGAGGATCGGCCTGCGGACTGAAGGGTCCCGGGTTCGATTCCAGTCAAGGGCACGTACCTCGGTTGCAGGCTCCTCCCCAACCCGGGCCCTGGTTGGGGCACATGCAGGAGGCAACCAATCGATGTGTTTCTCTCACATTGTTATTTCTCTCTGTCTTTCCCTCTCTCCTCCCTCTAAAAATCAATGGCCTCAGGTGAGGATTAAGAAGAAAAAAAAAATGAGCACTAGCTGGTTTGTCTCAGTGGCTAGAGTGTCAGCCTGCAGACTGAAGGGTCCCAGCTTTGATTCCAGTCAAGGGCACATGCCCAGGTTGTGGGCTCGATCTCCAGTAGGAGGCGTGCAGGAGGCAGCCAAGTGATGATTCTCTCTCATCAATCACTGATGTTACTTTTAAAATATATTTATATATATATTTTTATTGATTTCAGAGAGGAAGGGAGAGGGAGAGAGATAGAAACATCAGTGATGAGAGAATCATTGATCGGCTGCCTCCTGCATGCCCTCGACTGGGGATTGGGCCCGCAACCCGGGCATGTGCCCTTGACCAGAATTGAACCCGGGACCCTTCAGTCCACAGGCCAAAGCTCTAGCCACTGAGCAAAACTGGCTAGGGCGTCACTGATGTTTCTATGTCTCCCTCCCAATCCCTTCCTCTCTGAAATCAATAAAAAAAAACATATTTTTTTTAAAAATGTGACTCTTCGCCCTTTCCATGTCCTTCATAATAACAACCCAGATGTTTCCTCCAACCCCTCATCTTGTAACAAGTCCCGATGTCTGTGGCCTGTTCTCTCCTGCAGAATGTCTGCGTGAGGTGTGCGCCGTCTCCAAGTCCTCTTTCCAGGGCCCAGTATACACGCCTGGGCCTGGCACGGCGTGGGCATGCAGTGCTCAAGGAATGCCGCCCGATGGAGGTTTTGCTCTGTACATGCCGTGTGTGTCCCACACGCCCCGAACATGCTAAGCGCACCTGTGTTCTCTTTTGCAGGCTATTGGCTGTACTCTGAACTGCAGTTGCCAAAGTTTCAAACCAGGCAAAATCAACCACCGGCAGTGTGAGCAGTGCCGACACGGATGGGTGGCCCACGGTAACTTTATTTCCCTCTAAATAACTCTTAACAGTTTTTCAGGAATGGATGGGATATCTAAGAACAGAGCGGCAGCGAGCACGCGTAAGTTACTGCTGTGTGCCGGGCAACCGCCTCAGTCACAGTGGTTCTCAACCTTCTGGCCCTTTAAATACAGTTCCTCATGTTGTGACCCAACCATAAAATTACTTTCGTGGCTACTTCATAACTGTAATGTCGCTACTGTGATGAATCGTCATGTAAATATCTGATCTGCAGGATGGTCTTAGGCGACCCCTGTGAAAGGGTCGTTCGACCGCCAAAGGGGTTGCGACCCACAGGCTGAGAACCGCTGGCCTAAGAGCTCTAGATGTGTCACCTCTTTGATAACAACTCCACATGATACGTGTTTTGTTAGCCCCATTCTAAAGGCGGGCACACTGGTGCCTCACTGCCATCATTTTGAGATGATAGAACTGGTCTGTGCCATCTAATGCAGTAGCCCTAGCCCAGATAAAATACAGACTGTTCCTTTAAATTTGAATTTCAGATAAACAAAAAATAATTTCCTAGCCCAGCTGGTGTGGCTGAGTGGTTGAGCGTCGACCCCATAAACCAGGAGGTCAGGGTTGGATTCCCAGTCAGGGCACATGCCTGGGTTGCAGGCTCCATCCCCAGTTGGGGGCATGCAGGAGGCAGCTGATCCATGATTCTCTCTCATCATGGATGTTTCTATCTCTCTCTCCCTCTCCTTTCCTCTCTGAGGTTAATCAATCAATATTTTTCTTAGTCTAGGCATATCCACTTATTTGGTGTTTATATTCAGATTTAACTGGGCATCCTGTATTTATATTTGCTGAACCTGACCCTACACTAGCCATGGGTGGCTACCAAATTCTTGAAATGTGACAAGTGTGACTGCAGAATTGAATTTCCAGTTTTCTTAAATGTTAATGAATTTCTTTTTTGTTTTGTTTTGTTTTTGTTCATCCTCACCCGAGGATGTTTTTCCATTGATTTTTAGAGAGAGTGGAAGGGGAGGGAGAGACAGAGAGAAACATCGATGTGAGAGAGACACATCGATTGGTTGCCTTCCCCATGCCCTGGCCAGGGCCAGGGTCAAGCCTGCAACCAACGTATGTGCCCTTGACCAGAATCAAACCTCGGACCCTTCAGTCTGTGGGCTGACATTCTATCCACTGAGCCAGACCGGCTAGCCCAACGTTAATGAATGTAAATCTAAATTTAAGTAGCCATATGGGGCTGATGTCTATCACATTGGACAACATAGGTTTCGGTGGTTTCTTTTTAATTATTTTTTAAAATATATTTTTATTGATTTCAGAGAGGAAGGGAGAGGGAGAGAGAGATAGAAACATCAATGATGAGAGAGATTCATGGATCGGCTGCCTCCTGTACGCCCCCCACTGGGGATCGAGCCCGCAACCCAGGCATGTGCCCTTGACCGGAATCGAACCCGGGACCCTTCAGTCAGCAGGCCGACGCTCTATCCACTGAGCCCAACCAGTGAGAGCTGGGTTTCGGTGGTTTTACTTGCCAAGTCTGTCAGCTAGGGGGTGTCAGGCCCGGGTCTGCTGGACTCCCAAACCCAGGTTCTCACCTGGTGCTTCCCGATTTCCATCCTCTGGGTTAGGCACCTGGGCCTTTGTTTTTTACCACCACCACCCCCTTTTTCTGCACTCCCCCTACTTGCGGCTCTTTTCCTCCTCAGGGATGCCACAGGAAAGGGAGAAAAGGAGAGTCTCAGGCCAGTCCACGTTATAAGTGCCTGTGAAAGCTATTAAGATAATTAATTATTTGTATAGTCTTTTTTTTTTTCACTGTTGGAACAGATCGCCGAGAGTTGGCACCAGCTTATTTCCTATGCAGTGTTTCTCTTGGGAGTAGGATCCTTAAAAACGTCATTTCTGCCCTGGCTGGTTTGGCTCAGGGGATAGAGCGGCGACCTGCAGACGGAAGGGTCCCGGGTTCGAATCCGGTCAACGGCACATGCCCGGGTGGCGGGCTCAATCCCCAGTGGGGGGCGTGCAGGAGGCAGCCGATCCATGATTCTCTCTCATCACTGATGTTTCTCTCTCTCTCTCTCCCTCTCCCTTCTTCTCTAAAATCAATGAAAATATATTTTTAAAAAATCGTTTCTTCCTTGGGTTTTCCAGCGCTCAGCAAGCTGAGGATCCCGCCCATGTATCCCACGAGCCAGGTGGAGATCGTCCAGTCCAACGTGGTGTTTGACATCAGCAGCCTCATGCTCTACGGGACCCAGGCCATCCCCGTGCGCCTGAAAATCCTCCTGGACCGGCTCTTCAGTGTGCTGAAGCAGGACGAGGTCCTGCGGATCCTGCACGCCCTGGACTGGACCCTTCAGGACTACATCCGGGGATACGTGCTGCAGGTGCGGCCAGCACGGCCACCCTCCCCCGCCAGGGTCTTCTCCCACCCACTTCCGCGTCCCTGAAGCAGCCCAGTAGCCCACGAGCGCTACAGCCATTGCGGGCATCCTTCCCTTTTGTCTTTTTTCTAGCGGCTGATTGCCCTACCCCACCTTCTGGGAGGAATCCAGGGCTTTCCTCAAGAGACTTGTGAGCCCTGGCTGGTTTGGCTCAGTGGATAGAGCTTCAGCCTGGGGACTGAAGGGTCCCAGGTTCAATTCCGGTCAAGGGCACATGCCTGGATTGTAGGCTTGATCCCCAGTAGGGGGTGTTCAGGAGGCAGCCGGTCAATGATTCTCTCTCATCATTGATGTTTCTATCTCTCTCTCCCTTTCCCTTCCTCTCTGAAATCAATAAAAATATATATTAAGCCGAAACCGGTTTGGCTCAGTGGATAGAGCGTCGTCCTGCGGACTGAGGGGTCCCGGGTTCGGTTCCGGTCAAGGGCATGTACCTGGGTTGCGGGCACATCCCCGTGGGAGATGTGCAGGAGGCGGCTGATCGATGTTTCTCTCTCATCGATGTTTTTTTTTAAAAATATATATATATATATTTTTTAAAAGATACCTGTGAAACTCAGATGTGGGAGTGTTACCTGGTCCTCTGACTTGGGTTTCACTGGGCAGCTCTTCCACAGTAAACCACTGGCCCCGCCTTGGACACTTCTTTCTTTTTTAATCCTCACCCAAGGATATTTTTCCATATTTTCCCAGGATGTTTAGAGAGAGTGGAAGAGAGAGGGGAAGACAGAGAGAAACATCGATGTGAGAGAAACACATCGATTGGTTGCCTCCTGCACGTGCCCTGACCAGGGCCCAGGTCGGGGAGGATCCTGCAACCGAGGTACATGCCCTTGATCGGAACCGAACGCGGGACCCTTTGGTCCTCAGGCTGATGCTCTATCCACTGAGTCAAACCGGCTGGGGCTCCACTTCTTTTATTATCTGCAAACTACCTGTTGACATAGATGCTGTCCGCGTGAAATTTTACTGAGGTTTTGGGGGTGAGAAAGCGAACTTACCTTGCAGAACCGCAAGCAAACAATTCCGGTCCCTGTTCTCTAAAGCGTCTGCACCCCATGCTGATGTTCCCTCCTAGAATGGGTCGTCTTGTGAGGTTTCTGTGTTCTTGCTGGTTTTTATTCTCTGCACCCGCCCCCCATTCTCTTTCTGCCTCCTCACATTTTGTCTCTGTCTCTCCATGAAGGAGAGATGGAAGGCATATTTCTCTGTGCCTTTCATGCCTTCTCTCTTCTCTTTATGTGGCAGAGTAGTTTTTGTTTGTTTTAATCCTCACCTGAGGATATGTGATTTCAGAGAGAGAGAGGAAAGGAGAGAGAGAGAGAGAGAGAGAGAGAGAGAGAGAGAGAGAGAGAGAGAAACATTGATCAGTTGCCTCCCGTACTCACCCCCACCCGGAATCAAACCCCGCAACCTGGAACTGAACCGGGAATTGAACCTTCAACCTTCTGGTGTGTGGACTGGTGCTCCAACCAACCGAATCACCCAGCCAGGGCTCCGCAAAGTGGTTTTACCTCCCTTTCTGTAACAAGCTATGGGGGCAGGTTTCCTGTTTCACATCTAGAGGCGAAGGATGTATTTCCTCATATAAATGAGATCATTTCTATGAAACAGATGCAGCTTTCTGATTTTTTTTCTTGCCACTATACTGGGAAATAGTATCAGCCAACTTTGGTAAAAATTTCAGTGAAATGGAGGTATGAATTTATTTCCAAGACACGCGTCCTTGTTGGTCTTACTCAGAGAAAACTGTGTCACTAAAATGAACACTAATAACCAGTTACTAGACCAGTGGTTCCCAATGTGGGCACACACCCCACAGGGAGGCAATTCGAGAATGAGTTCTTAACAGTGAACTTTTTGCATTTCTTACGGTCCTAGGGCCCTCATAGACAGTCTATAAATGTACGTTGTGACATGTTTATGCATTTCAGTTCTCTGTTACGTTTTGAAACTGTATTTGCTATTTTTTCATATCATTTTATGTTATTACTATTCTTTTTAACAATTTCCTAGTGATTTCTTCCTCAGTCCTTCCCCTGTCCTTTTGTTCTTTTATTTCTCTCTCTCATGGATGCCATGTTCTTTGGAAGCTTGTTTAGACCAAGTTCATGGCCTTTGAGGCTTCCTCCATGTGAATAGGGAGCTCACTTTTTGAATAATAAGAATTATATGTCCCGGGGGGGAGGGTCATTAGGATTTTATTTATTTTTTAAATATATTTTTATTGATTTCAGAGAGAAAGGTAGAGGGAGAGAGATAGAAACATCAATGATGAGAGAGAATCATCCATCGGCTGCCTCCTGCAGGCCCCCTACCAGGGATTGAGACTGCAACCCAGGCATGTGCCCTTGACCGGAATCGAACCTGGGACCCTTCAGTCCACAGGCCGATGCTCTATCCACTGAGCCAAACCAGCTAGGGCGGGCACCAGGATGTTAGAGATGCTTAGGTGGGGCGTGGCCAACAAAAGGTTGGGAACCCCTGACCTAGACCCTCTCCCAGTAATCTTACGACCTAGACCAGTGATGGCGAACCTTTTGAGCTCGGCGTGTCAGCATTTTGAAAAACCCTAACTTAACTCTGGTGCCGTGTCACATATAGAAATTTTTTGATATTTGCAACCATAGTAAAACAAAGACTTATATTTTTGATATCTATTTTATATATTTAAATGCCATTTAACAAAGAAAAATCAACCAAAAAAATGAGTTCGCGTGTCACCTCTGACACGCGTGTCATAGGTTCGCCATCACTGACCAAGACCCTTTTCCAGGGATCTTATGAAGTATGTAGAATATCCCCTTTTTCCGTCGAAAAACCAGAGGCTCCGAGTGGCTTCTAAATCTTGCGGGAGTCACTCAACTCCTATGCAGCAGACCCCGGATTCGAACCCCCATTTTTCTGAGTCTAAAGGCCATGATCTTCCTCTGGAAGCACACGTGTTCACCTCGAGAGCAGGCCCCCGCAGGTCGGAAACCACCTTTTATGCAGAGTAGCATTACCATCTTACATTATGACAGAGATCAATATTTAATGATCCTAATAATCTTGCTTTCCCTCGTGTTGGGATTAAAAATATGGAATCAATTACCTTGAACCTCTAGTGCATGAAAAATGTATGATGTTACATTCCTCGCCATCTTCGGAACGCTCCCATGCACTGTGAAAAAATCTCAGTAGGCCATCAAGTACATGTTCTGTGATAAAATATTTATTGCAGTTTTGGGAAAAGTTAGGCCTTGCTAGAGTTTGAACGATCTCCAACACGCCGGTGTAATTACAGCTGCGCTTTGTGAACACGGGCCGTAGATCAATACGGGTTCATTTGTTTTCTGATGGTAGTTGCTTGGGCAGATTATTAAAATGCAGTGAATAAATACCCGAGCGATATGGAGGTCTGGTTGCTCCATCTAGAGTCTTGAGATAAAGAAGTTACTATTGTTGCCCTGGCCAGTGTGGCTTAGCAGTTAGAGCAGTGATGGCGAATCTATGACACGCGTGTCAGAGGTGACACGCGAACTCATTTTTGGGGTTGATTTTTCTTTGTTAAATGGCATTTAAATATATAAAATAAATATCAAAAATATAAGTATTGCTGAAACCGGTTTGGCTCAGTGGATAGAGCGTCGGCCTGCGGACTGAAGGGTCCCAGGTTCGATTCTGGTCAAGGGCATGTACCTTGGTTGCGGGCACATCCCCAGTGGGGGGCGTGCAGGAGGCGGCTGATCGGTGTTTCTCTCTCATCGATGTTTCTAACTTTCTATCCCTCTCCCTTCCTCTCTTTATATATATATATATGTCTTTGTTTTACTATGGTTGCAAAGATCAAAAAATTTCTATATGTGACACGGCTCCAGAGTTAAGTTAGGGTTTTTCAAAATGCTGACACGCCGAGCTCAAAAGGTTCGCCATCACTGAGTTAGAGCGTTGGCCCCCCAGACCAGAGGGTTGCCAGTTCAATTCCCGGTCAAGGGCACCTACTTGGGTTGCAGGTTTGATCCCCGGCCTCCGTCGGGGTACATGTGGGAGGCAACCAATCGATGTGTCTCTCTCACATTGATCTCCCTCCTCTCTTTCTCTCTCTCCCTTCCCGCCCCCTTCCCTTCCACTCGCTCTTAAAATCAATGGAAAAAATATCCTCTGCTGAGAACAAACAAAAAACAAAAAGGAGTTACTATTTTTCAAAAGATACATTGTTGGTTTTTATCCTCGAGTAAGGATATGTTTATTGATTTTAAAGCAAGAGGGAGGGAGGGAGAAAGAGAAGCATGGGTATGAGAGAGAAACATTCTATACACACCCCAACTGGGGATGGAACCCACAACCTTTGATGTATAGAGCGACCCTCCAGCCACCTGAGCCACCCGGGCAGGGCAAAATATATGTATTTTAATTTTTGTGGCGAAGATTATTATGCCTAATGCAAGATGACCAATAAGATGGAAACTAATCACCAAATTTCCCTGAGGCTTGAGCACAATTATTTTATGTCTCTTTGGGACTGCCACTTACATTTGTACAGTATATTTTCTTTCTTTTAAAAAAAATACATTTTTATTGATTTGAGAGAGGAAGAGAGGAGGAGAGATAGAATCAATGATGAGAGAGAATCATTGATCGGCTGCTTCCTGCACGCCCCCCTACTGGGGCCCGAGCCCGCAACCCAGGCATGTGCCCTTGACCGGAATCGAACCCGGGAACCTTCAGTCCGCAGGCCGAGACTCTATCCACTGAGCCAAACCGGCTAGGGCTACAGTATATTTTCTGCACAGTTTCTGGCCTAAGAGAGTGGCGTGAGTGGGGGCTGAACCAGCCCCGGGCTCACCCTGAGAGGGTGTCATTTTCAAATGTGCACAGAGGTGCCCTCTGGTCTGGGTGCCAGAGGAGGCCCTGACCACCCTGCTCCTTTCTTAGCGGAAACTGACCGCCCTTTTCGTTTCCGGTCGGGGTGTAGGACGCGTCGGGGAAGGTGCTGGACCACTGGAGCATCATGACCAGCGAGGAGGAGGTGGCCACCTTGCAGCAGTTCCTGCGTTTCGGGGAGACCAAGTCCATCGTGGAGCTCATGGCCGTGCAGGAGAAGGACGAGCCGGCCGCCGCCGCCCCGCCCTCGGCGGCCAACGTGGACATCAGGGCTTTC